CAAAGTGAGCTTGGAAGCGCGTGGAAGGTTGTTAAAATGCCGTTTCCTGGGACCCGCAGGGATCTATGAATTCAGAATCTCTGAAAGTTTGCACTGTTTGCAAGTCCTCAAATGATTCTTTAAGGACCCCTGTCTTAGAGTCACGGTTAGGAAGCCCAAATTTAAAACGGGCTTGGGAGGAAGAGGGCAGAACCGTGAGGTCAATAAGTATTTGTAGAATGGATAGATGGATGCATTCAGATTATACTCTTTTTTGTTAGGTCAGTATATTCGGTTGGATTACGACTTGTGTGGCAACTTGAAATTATCGATACTGTACTGTGCTTTCTAAAATTTGGTGATGGGTTCTCTGTTCTTCGGCCACCCGTTTTCTGGTTATTCCTTGCAAGTGGGTGATTTCTGCCAACAACTTACCTCTTTTTGATTCCAATCTTATTCTTAGAAGGTAAGCCAAGCACCAATTACTAAGGGTGTATTACTGTTATCCAATCTTTACTGAATATTACGTAGGTGAAGCATAGGTTTGAATATGTATAGCTTTCTTTATGGTACATCTTCTTAAAATAATAAAATTATTGATTCTTAAAAATGAGCAATATCTATAGTTTAAAATTTTTTGTTAAAAACGTATGTGTGGTATGTACATGCAATGGGATACTATTAAGCCTTAAAAAGGAAGGAAATTCAGATAATTGCAACTTGCATGAACCTGGAAGACGTTATGCTAAGAAAAATAAGCCAGTCAGGAAAGGACAAATATTTTATGATTCCATTTGTATGAGGGACCTGGAATAGTCAAATTCGTAGAGGTAGAAAGTAGGATGGTCAATTATATAACAAAATACAAACCAAGCAGCTCTGGAGGGAAACATGAACTACACTACTAGAGATTTCTATAGAAGTTACACACTAATAGTTTTTTTCTTCTTCCAGGTTTATTGAGATATAATTGACATACACTCTATATACATTTAAGGTGTACAGCATAATGATTTTTTAAATTTTTATTTTATTTATAGTCAGTTTACAGCATAATGATTTGACTTACGTCATAAAATGATTTCCACAGTAAGTTTAGTGAACTTCTGTCATTTCATATAGATACAAAATTTTAAAAATAGGAAAAAAATGTTTTTTCCTTGTGATAAGAACTCATAGGACTTACTCTCGTAACAACCTTCATATATAACATAGAGCAGTGTTAAAAATATTTGCTGGGGGTGGGGTATAGCTCAAGTGGTAGAGCACATGCTTAGCATGTACAAGGTCCTGGGTTCAATTCCCAGTACCTCCTCTTAAAAAAAAGGAAATAATAATAAGCAAATCTAATTACCTCCCCCCCAAATTTGTCCTTTTGTACAATACATCCCTAATACTAATTTATCTTATAACCTGAAATATGTGCCTTTTGACTGCCTCCATCCAATTCCTCTCTCCCCCACCCCCTACCTCTGGTAACCACAGATCTGATCTCTTTTTCTATGAGTTTCTTTGCTTTTGAAGTATAGCTGATCCACAACACTATGTTAGTTCCTGGTGCACAGGATAGTGATTTGATATTTCTACATTTCAAAATGATCACCACCACACTAATGCCATCTCAAAGCAAACGTTTAGCACCACCTGCAAGACACTGGGCTAAGCTCCTGTAATTCTCTCAACAGCTCTTTG